GTAATTTATAAACCACAAAAACATATTTCTGGAGGCTGGGAAGTCCAACATCAATATGCCAAAATGTTCAGTGTCTAATTAAACCCTGTTTCTAATAGATGGAGCCAACTATGTTTCCTCACATAGTGGATAGAAAAGAAGGGAAAGAAAACACTCTTTTAAGCCTCAATGGATGCTAGTACCATTGATGAGGGCAGAAACGTCATTACTTAATGACATCTGAAGATCACATCTCATAGTTGCATTGAGGAATAACTTCCAATCTAAATATTGGAGGGGACATCATCATTCAAATAATAGCACATAGATACAAATGTCTTTCAGAGTTTGTGCATACAGTCATCCGTGCATCAACTCAGTTCATCAGTAAAGCTCCTTGTCCCTGTTTTTCCTAACAGGTTTATGACCAAACATCTAGAGAATTTTACCACATATAAACCTGCATTTGTTGAAGCTTCAGATTCTAGGTCTGGGTTCTTATGTCAGATTTCCACTGTGGTCTCCACAGTCCCAGCTCCTGGCTCACCACTCTCCACCTCCTGTGATACCGTGCTGAGGCTGCACCATTGTCTCTGCAACCTTTCTCCCACTTCCGGTTGGAGTAGGTCCCAGGATTAGAGATACCAGGTGTCCTATATATTTAGGTTGTTGGTGGTGCTGATTTTGTCGGAACCTGTTGGACATTAGGTCTGGGTGCCACAAGGATCTATGTTGACCAGTAAGATGCCACAGTTGGTATTATTTTCCTGTGGGACCAGTGCAATCCATGGAACTCAGTGAGCTCAGCACATGCGCAATTCACCGTTGTCCCCTGCAGTCCTAAAGTTATTGCCACAGTTTGCAAAATGGTGCCTGACGTACCATACAGTACTAGAGTTCTTGATCTGCTGGCTGTCAGATCTGGGGGCTACCTAGACCTGTCTTGGGTAGAACCTGTAGAATGCCATGTTGATGCAGTTCACTGAGTCAGAAATGAGTTCACTCCCAGCTCAGCACATGCTCAGTCCTTTCCCTTGCCTTTGCCTCCTTACACAAAATGGCGCCCAATTCAGCTCTAGGGGGCTGTCTGGGCTGTGAAATCCACCCTGTTCTCACACTGCCTGTCTGGGATCTGCTGCTCTGTCTCTGCTACTGGTCAAATCAAACGGACCAGCAGGACGGATAGTTCTTTGTCTGGGTTCACCTCCCAAGCTCCCAGTGAAAGGTCCTTCCCACCTGGTTGCTGGTGGCGTTCTGGCTGCTGGTGGAGTTCAGATTGCCATGCTGGAGTATCAGTCACTGCAACACCACACCGCTATGCCCGCTGCTTTCCTGTGTCTGTCAGTCTCTAGGTACCCCTCTGCTTTTGTTCTGTCCTTTCCTATTTCCTGAAATATGTCCTCTGTGCTTCATCCTGATTAAATTATTCTCTGTCCATTTAAATGTGTCCTTACCCTATTCTGCCATCTTCATTCTCCTCAATAGGAATTTTTGAGGACCTAATAACATTTATCAGAAATTCCACATGGAAGGAATAAAAACCCATCAACAGTCAATAAAATTTGGGAAAAGAACAACCTGGGTTTCAGTAAAATAAATTGTTAGGCTCCCTCATTGTCATGGCAACCCTCAGGCTCAGAAACTGATACAGTTCTGCTAGGTAACTCCTCTGTTGCCACTACTGTTGCTGGTAAGCATCTATAAGAAACTGAGGGCAGAGCTGAGTGCAGAATCCTTTTGCAGCTCACCATGAACATTGCAGACATGCATCCTGTGTACCTTAGTCTACCACTATGAGAATAAAAACTATGCATCTACAGAGGCTCCAAACTTGTACCTTGGCCTTTGCAAATGTGGATCTAGTCTTCCTGGAGCCGAGCTGTTGTGTTACACTTGGCATACCTGACTAGATTTGTCTCAGGCCCGTACGGTGCCTTCTTTTCTAGTTGAGGGTGGGACTTGAGGTGGGCAGACGTGTGTGGCATTTAGTGGAGCTCTTATGAAGTGATCCAATACCAGAGATTTAGAGATTTGCCTGGGGCTGTCCGCAGGCAGTAGATGTGCTGAGTTGCAAGTAGTATTGTGAGAGTTGAGCACATGCAACAGCGTTTTAAATTCTGGGATTCACCAGCCAGATGAAGACGTTTTCACTGTGCACAGCTTCCTCTGCCTTCTATGGCCTTTTGGTGGCAATACTAGCCTTGTAGTTGGAACATTCTGTCAATGCAATGACCTATACTATTGCCAATTGGGGAGAGGATGAGATGATGTACACTCAGAAGTGGCATGTGGGCTGCTATCCATAAGAAGAGAGAAGGAAAAGAATGAATTACCATCACCCAAACCCAGATAGTCTGGCAGCATGGGCAGATAGCGAAAATCTAGATAAGCAAACTAATTAGATATTGCTAGACTCATGGCAATAATTAAAACCAGAAACAATAACTCAAGCCATTTAAGAAGTTCAGTTCGAGTAAAGCACCAACCTGGCACAAGGGTTTTCAGCAATATTGTTACATGACTTTTGAGGGACTCTGAGGCATCTTAGACAACCACTGATGATTGGACATTTAATTTGGTTAGGTGGAAGGCCCTAATCAGGGACAGATTGGGACTGCAGGCCTTATGGGAAGCTTGATATGCACTATTCTTCTATAGTTCAGAATATTGGCACTGGTTGTCACATGAACTGAATGTACATTACTGCATAAGAGATTTTTTTCTGGGCTTCCAATATCCATAAATGTCTACAGAGAATGCTATATCCAGGGAAAAGCCATAAACCCATCTTTGGAAAGAGTACATCTACCATCTCAGGAATATACTATGTATGTGTTCCCCATATGCAAGGGTGTACTGGATATTAATGTCCTATGATCCTGTTCCCACTATAGTTGGTGTGCTCCAACAGTGAGTGTGCCTAGTTAAATCTGTACTGAGGACACATGCTGCCCAGCCCCTATTACCGCTACCGCTGCCTAGAGAAGTGACAAATACAAAGCAGTACAAACTGCCAGGAGATCATAAAGAAACTACTACAATCATCAGGGAAATGGCAAAGAGAGGCATTATTAGACCCACAGATAGTCCATTTAATTCACCAGTATGGCCTGTAAAAATATCAAATGGAACCTAGAATTGAATGGTAGATTACCGGGAGCTTAACAAAGTTGTTTCTTTCCTGCATGCAATGATTTCATTAGTAAGTGATATCATGGACTGCCTCAGTCATGAACTTGGAACTCATCATTATGTTTTAGTTCCAGCTAATGCTTTCTTCTCTATTGCTATACCTCCTGAGGGGCAAGACTAATTCGTCTTCACTTGGGATGACTGGAATAGAACTCCACAATTCTTCTATTTAATATCCCACCTCATGCTTTGGTAGCAGTGGATTTGGCATGATTGTGCTTTTGGCAGTATATATGTCTATCATATAAGTTATGTAACATTGACCTGTGATTCGCTCAAGGATTCTAATTGTCTATACTTACCTTGATGAGACATCTAAAGTCACATGACTAGAAAGACAAGGAATACAAAGTGCAAGGGCTAGAACTATGTCAAATTTTGGGGAGTTGTCTGGTTGGGAAAGACAAAAATCATGTGCAAGGCAGTCATAAATAACATTAAGGCTTTTTCTTTTCCAATGACAGTAAAACAGTTGCAGGGTTATAGGGCTGTTAGGATATAAGAGAGTGCTTATTCCACAGCTGTCATGAATTCTGAGGCTTTTATATTGTTTGCTAAAGAAGGGAATCAGGTGGAAATGGGGTAAGCAAGAGCAAGCCACCTTCACAGTGGTTAATCAGAATGGACAGGACATGAATGTGTTTGGTGCGGACATTCAGTGTGTGCTTCACATGCATGTCACTATAGCAGAGTTCAGATGGGGCCTTGGCAGCAGCACAAAAGATTCAGATAGCCTATTAGCATTTGGTCCCTGTTGTGGAGAAGAACATAGACTCAGTACTCCTTAATTGAAAAAGAGCTTGCTGCAATTCATGCTGCCTTGATGGCTTCTGAAAGCATGATAGTCACCTCAACATAATTTTACCTGCCTTTTACCCTATTGTTGGTTGGATAAGAAAATATGAGGAAAAGCCATGTGGTATAAGCAGCGGAGGTTCCCATAGAGACAAGAGGGGAGTCTACCTGCAACATCGGGGTGTTCTCAATGCAAACCTATTGAAAGCTGAATGACAAGGGGTTGCAGGGTGCATCCCTTATTTAACTGAAAGTGTACTTCCCAAAACCCCACACACTATAGAATCACTTAGTCCATACCAGGATGGATGTCATCAATTCCTGTGGCAGTCTGGTACACAGATTGATCAAGCAAAATGTGAACTGTGCCACGGATCCCAAGATGATTTCTCAGGGATCAGGCAATCACCAAAGTAGTCAATGGGCTGAGCTATGAGCAATACAGTTGGCCACTGTCAACAAAATTTTGCTAAGTGCATTTTTATAAGTGATTCTTAATTTTTATTGTTACTATTTTCCATGATACAGTTTTGTTGGTAGAGGGATTCCTCCCTTTCCCTTGTCTTCTTTCCCTCCTATTTTTCCCTCCCACCATTTCCCCCATATTATCATGGTAGTATAGCCAACTACAATTTGTGTGGACAGATAGATCATCTTGTGAGGCCTGTCTGGATAGCAACATTACATGCAGAAATTTGGGTGGTTATTTATCAACATTTATGAGCCAGTCAATGTGGCAAAATTGTGGGACATGTGACACCAGAAGAAAATCACTATGAACCATCTGATGAGTCACATGCCCCTTGCTTGTCAGGGTAATGATGAGGCTGATACCTTAGGTAAGGTATTATGGTTGGGAAGGTCCCAGAAAAGGATACTGTCCAATGGTTACTTTAGTGACTGCTTACACACAGAACAAAAAAATGATGTGGCCTACAGTAAAAGCTTGGGACCTGCTTGTAAATAACCAAGTAGTTCTAGAACTTGCACAAACTCTGCTGCTAGCAAGAACATCCCCTCTCCCACAGTGAATGCCACTAGCCACTGCAACTTTGATGTGTGGGTGGGCATCCCTTGAAAGGTGGCAAATAGACTTTATTGGATCTTTGCCTCAGTCTGATGGATGTGGGTATGCTGTTACCTTGGTAGACCCTACTACAGGACTTCTTTTTGCTACTCTTTTCAGGTAGCCTGACCAGTGGGAAATGTTGCATGCCTTGGCTAGACTATATGCTGTGTTTGAAAGACCAAAAGTTACTGAGAATGACTGGGGAACTCATTTTACAGGCTCCAGAGTGGAGAACTGAGAAAAGTACCACTGAGGTATTGACTGGAATTTATATGCTCCATATCATCCCCAAGTACTCACTACAATGAGAGAGTAATATAATGGCCTATCAAAACAAGACCTCCAGGAGCAAGCCAACTCAAACTTCTTGGTGGGATGGATCAAGAGACTGTAGATTGTGTTAGCAGTTATTGAATGAATAGCCCCAAGCGAGAACAGTAGACACTGCGGAGGCTTTACTGCATTCCACTGTGGGTACAAAACAGTAACCTCCTATTGAAATCAGGTTTTGGAAGACAAAGTTTGCTATCTGCTCCCATGGCCATTGAGTGAGGGGAACATGCCTCCTAGACATGATATGAAAAAAGACATGATACCAAAAATCAGCCAGGCCTGATTTGCCTTGCTGTCAGAATGAGGAACAGGAATATAACATGACTTGCAGGTGACACCGTGGGTGATGGCCACTTTCCACCCTGTGGCTAAGGTACAATACCCATGTAAGGAAAGGGCCATTACCATGTTCGAGGGTACATTTGCCTTAGCATTATTGCTAATACTACTCTCTCCAGTATCCCTGTGTGTAGATGAGTACCTAGAAAAAGCTATATCCAAAAGAACCTCATATAAAAAGCTAGGGCAATCCTTTGTGGCAGATGTAGTGCTACCTTAAGATAAATCCCTTGCTTATACATTATCCAATAGCCAGTGTTTGTCATTGTTGGTGCCACTAACTTCTTTGTCTTATTGCTCCTAGTCTGGTGATGGCAATTAACCTGGTAGAGTGGGAACACACTTTTGCAATGGGCACCAACTGATTGGTTTATTGGGTGTGCACTGAGTTATCTATCAGTTCTACATCTGAAATTTCTTTCTAGGTGATCATAGCCTCTACCAAAACTGGACCTGTTTGGAAGGATGGAATTCTGCTGACACATTATAGACAACACCTGGCACAATACATTGAAAATCCTAGTTTGGGAGCAGTTTTGTGACCCAGAATAGCCAAAGAGATTTTGAAAAGAAAAAAAAAAAACTCAAGCTAGAGGCATCACAATACTTCACTTCAAAAAAGCATATTGTAAAGCTGTAGTAATTTAAACAGCATAATATTGGCATATAGATATATACATAGATCAATGGAACAGAATAGAGAGCCCAGAAATTAATCCAAACACATACAGTCAACTGATTTTTGACTAAAGTGTTCAAACCATACAGTGGGGTAAGGATAATTTTGTCAAAAAGTGGTGCTTACAAATTGGATGTATGGATGTAGAATAAAATTATATCCACATTCTCACCATATACAACAATCAACATAATACGGATCAAAGACCTATATAAATTTGTGCGGACACTGTGGAAAAACAGTGTGGAGATTTTTTTTTGAAATCTTGAAATAGAGTTGCCATATGATCTAGCTATGTGACTACTGAGTATGTACGCAGAAGACTTGAACACAAAGAATCAGAGAGATACCCGCACTGCCATGTTTGCAGCAGTATTGCTCACAATAAACTAAATTTGGAATCAAGCAAGGTGTCCATCATATCCATTTGCAGCAAAATGGACTCAACTGGAGGACATCAAGTTGAGTGAAATAAGCCAGATCTGCAAAGAGAAATACTGTATGGTCTCTCTTACATATGCTTCTTCCTATATATGTTATCTTGAAAATGTAAAACAAAACGAAACAAAAGCAAAATAAAAGAAAAAACAGTGGGGAAGAGAGAAAGAGACAAGGAAGATAGGGAGGATGGGAATGTCATTATGTTCTTAGAATTGTAGCTACAAATCACATTGAATCTACTAAAGACTAATTAAATTTAAAATTTTGAACTGTTCATGATTGGGGTACTTTGTCTGGGATGGTCTGAATTATCTTCATTTAATATTATGTGCATATTCACTTATGGTTTCTTGCTGTAGCCTGTATTTTTCTTGTGGATTTTGGGTACCATCTTTTAGATTCCGTTCACATTCACACACTATCCTACTGGAAGATAACATACATGTTGATTGTGAGATGGGGAGCCTTGAAGAAGTACAGTGTTGGAAAAATGAAGCGAGGCAGGCTCTTTGCTATCATGGCAACTGGCAAGCCCAGAAGTTGATACAGTTCTGCTATGTCACTCCTTTGTTGTCTGACCCTGTTGTCTGTAAGCATGTATGACACTGAGGGCAGAGCTGAGTGCAGACTCCTTTGCGGTTTACCACCTGCCATGAGCATACTGGATATGTCTCTTGTACACCTTTGCACACCACTGTGAGAATACATAGGCTTTTAAAGTTGTTTTGGCCTGTTTCAATCAAGACCTAATCTTCCTATAAAAGAGATACAAATATATATGGAAATTTCAAAGCATACATCAACATAAATGGGAATTTGATACATGATAAAGCTGAAATAGCAAATACATGGGGAAATGTTGATTAAATCTATACTGGCAGTGGAAGTTACTATGTGGCAAAATATTATTAGAGCCCTACATCTTCCCATATAATGTAATAACTTCCCAATGAAATAGAGACTCAAATGTAAAGTGGAAAATTCAGAAGCTTGAAAAGCATAAATTATGAAATGATGAATGATGAGATTTTAAAGATTTTTCTTTTCTTTTTTAAAAAAGATTTGTGTATTTATTTGCTTGAAAGGTTTTTTCTTTGTTTCTTTCTCCTCTCCTCTCTCTCTCTCTCTATATATATATATATATTTATAGAGATACATAAATATATATATCTAGATATATTTATATATAGACACACACACACACACACACACATATATATATATAGAGAGAGAGAGGTGAGATACAGAAAGAATGTTTTCTATCTATTGGTTCATTCCCCAAATGACCACAATGGCCAGAGCTGAGCTGATCCAAAGTTGGGAGCCAGGAGTGTCTTCTGGGTCTCCTGTGTGGGTTCAGGGTCCCAAGAACTTAAACCACCCTCTGCTGCTTTTCCAGGCCACAAGCAGGGAGCTGGATGGGAAGTGAAGCAGCTGGTGCTAGAACCAGCATCCATATGGGATACCAGTGCCACAGAGCAGAGGTTTAGTTTGCAACACTACCATGCTGGACCTAAGAGTTATTTGTCTTTATTTGAAAGACACAGAGATGGAGAGACAGAGAGGAGGATATTCCACCTACTGGTTCACCCCCCCCCCCCCGCCCCCAGATGGCCATAACAACTGAAGCTGAGCCAATCTGAAGCCAGGAGACACGAACCAGAAGCTTTTTCTGGGACTCCCATATGGGTGCAGGGACCCAAGGACTTGGGCCATTCTCTTCAGCTTTCCTAGGTACTAAGAAGGAAGGTGGATTTGAAGTCTAGCAGCCTGTGACCATAGAGGAGGCTGGAGCTTCAGGCCCTAGGGGAGAGACTTTTGAAATAATAATAGAAAATAAAACACATAGAAGAATCACATGAAAATTTAATCTTGAGAATAAGGCCTTCTGTGTGACAATGCATCTTAAAGTAGAAATACAATCATCAGCAAGAATAAGCTGTTGGCATTAAATATTCCAAGCATGTGATTAACATTATAAACTCCAGTGAGGAAATAGTACATAATTTAAGGGAAAAAATGGGCTGAAATTAGAAAAAAGTCAATGCTGAGGGAGAGTTAATTCAGTTAAATTGCAAAAAGTGATGTGATGGTAATGAGACCTATGGCAGACTAACTAAAACCAAATCCTTGGAAGAGGGGCTGTGTACTTGCACTAAAGTGATCCTTTGTTTTGCTTTGCATTATCTTAATTTTTAAGATTTTATTTGCTTTGTCACACATATATAATGTATAAAACTTGCAAGTGTTGAAAGAATTTTTGAAATAGGGCTTAAAATCATTCAATCAGTACCCAGACCCAAAATTCATACACCCCACCCCAGGAAACCCTTTTCATTCGACCTTATGCTTACTAACCCCCTTAAATGTAATAACTATCATGACTCATCACAAATAGTGCTTTATTTATTTAAGACTCACTTTTTTTTATTAGAAAGGCAGATTTGCAGAGAGAAGGAGAGACAGGGAAAGACCTTCTGTCAGCTGATTCACTCCCCAAGTGGCTGCAACAGACAGAGCTGAGTTGATACAAAGCCAGGAGCCAGAGCCTCTTCCAGGTCTCCCCATGGATGCAGGGTCCCAAGACTTTGTGGCATCCTCTGCTTCTTTTCTTGGCCACAAACAGGAAATGGTATGGGAAGTGGAGCAGCTGGGACATGAACTGGTTCCCATATGAGATCCTGGCACATTCAAGGTGAGGATTTAGCCACTGAGCTGTTGTGCCAGAACCACAAATAACCTTTTCTATCCAGAACCAGACAAGGGCACCCACTGTTGCCATTACTATTCAATAAGGTTCTGTTAAGTTTTAGCCAGAGCCATTAGACTAGAAAATAAAATCAAATAGATACAAATAGAAAAGTAGGAAGTTAAATTATCCCTGTTTGTAGATGATATAATCCTATAACAAAGGATCCAAAAAACTCCAATAAGAGATAAATGGAACTCATAAGAGAGCTTGCCAAAGTTGCAATACACAAAAATTAATAGCATTTATACACTAACAATATTACATTAACACTAACTATATCACTACACTGTTACAATTATAATGTTATAACAGCATTATATACTAATAATATCACAGCTGAATAAAATCTTTTAACATTAGTCCCATTCATAACAGCTACAAAGTCATTTAAATATCTTTGAATAAATTTAACCAAGGATGTAAATTACATCTACTATGAAAATTAGAAAATATTAGGAAGACACAAAAGTGGAAAAAGCTTCCATGTTCAGGGATTGGGAGAATAAATATACCAAAACATCTGTACTACCTAAAGCAGCTTACAGATTCAATGCAATCCAAAGGAAAACACCAAGGTCATGCTTCCTAGATCTAGGAAAAAATGTCCTTCAGATTCACATAGAATCACAAGAGGTCCAGTTCAGTCTATCACCTGCATCAATCTATGCATACACTGTTGACTGAAGTTACCTGGTCATTTCTGTCCTCAGCCCCATGTCCTACACAAACCAACAGGTGTTATGGGCCAGCCCAACCCATGCTACCACAAACTCAGCCCTCATGCACACCGGCAGGAACTGCAGCTTAATTGGGGTGATCCTCAATAACCCCCACCAGGCCCACCTCTAGCCCTGGTTCCTGTGCATGCCAATATGTGTAGCAGACTAGTCTGATCTGTTTCACATCCCATCTTGCTCTCATATACACCTATGGGTGCTGTGGCTTAGCTCAGGCCATACCACCCAACAACCCAGCTTACATGTATGCCAATTGGTGCTGCTGTCTTGCCTAGCCAGGCTCACCCCCAGTCCTGGCTCTCTTGTTCACCAGTGTGTGCTGCAGTACAGCAGAGTAATGTGCAGTTTCCCTACTAAGCCCACTCTCAACCTGGATATTGTACTTTCCTGGGGGTATAGCAGTCCAATTTAACATAACTTGCACTCAGTCCCACCTTTGTCAGTGGATACTGTCGCAGAATCCAGTCAGCCTGAACTTATCATGGCTCTTGCATGTGCCTGCGGATGCAGTGGCCTGGCCTAGACCAGCCCTCCCCAAACCCAGAACACATGCAAGCTGACAGTTGCTGCAGCCTTGCCCCGCCTGGTCTGCCCCAGGTCCCAGCTCTCATACTTAGAGTGGGAGCAGTGGCCCAGCAGGGGAGCTCCTCTTGCAGCAGCCCCCTCACCACCAGGCTTGGTCCCAGCCCAGGGTCTTGTGTGTGCTGGTAGGTGCTGTAGCCTGGTCTGGCATGGTCTGTCTCACCTCGGCATTTGCCAGCAGGCGCTTCACCCTGACTCAACCAGGCCTGCAGTCCCAGCTCATGCTCATGGGTGCTGCAGCCTAGCCCAGCCTGATCAGCCCCCAGTCCAAGATCTAATGTGAATTGGTGGGTATTGTGCCCTAAGATGGCCTGTCCTGCACCACGTCCTGGCTCTCACACCTGACAGCAGGTACAGTGAATTGGTTCAGATGCCCACCTCCACACCAGAACCACAATGTATACTGAGGTATACTATAACCCGACTCAGTCTGTGCTGTCCCCAGCCTCAGTTCTTGGACTCATTAGAGAGGATTATATCCTGACAGAGGAGTTCCCCAAGGTCCTCTATCAGACCATCCCCTAGTGGCAGATCTTGAGAGCACCAGTGGCTGCTTGACCTTGCCTTACTTGGCCTGTCTCCAGTATTGGCTTTCACCAGTGGGTACTGAGGCCTTGCTGGACTGGCCCCACACCCACTCTGGCTCTTGGAACCACCAACAAGTGCTGGAGCCTATCCCAGTCTGGCACACCACCAGGCCCAGCCCACACATCTACTGAGGGATGCTGCAGCCATGTTCAGCCTGGTCTATTTCCAGTTCCAGTACTTGTCCTCACCAGTAGGAGCAGTGGCCCAGTAAGGGAGTCCCCTTAGCTCCCCTGCCAGGCCCAATTCCAGCCATGGACGTGTATATATACCAGCGGTTGCTCTGACCCAACCCTGCATGACCATCCCCCTATCTTGGCCTTTACCATCAAATGCTGCAGCCTATCCCCGCCCAGCTTGTTCCCATCCCTGGCTCTTGTGTGAGCCAGACTGTGCAGCAGCCTAGTCTGGCATGGTTCACACCCTGTTCTGGTTCCTGAACATTGTGCCAGTGTGCTACAGCTTGGCCTGGCTGCCTGGTCCACTCCACAAGCCAGCCCATACTCCTACCAACAAGTAGGACAGCCTTTCCAGGTGTGGCCCACATCCAGCCCCAATTCTTGTGCTCACCAGCAGGAGCTACAGTCTAGTAGAGAAATTCCCCAAGTCCTCCCACCAAACTCACTTGCAGACACGAATCTCATGCATGTCAGTGGGTGCTAGACCCCTATGCAGCATAGTCTACCCCCTCCACCCCCATCTCAGCCTTTGTGTGTGCTGGTGGATGCTGTGACCTGACCCACCCCACACCCAATTATTGGGTGTACCTACGAGTGCTGCAGCCTGGGTCAGCCTGGCCTGCTCCCAAATTCCCATTAGTGTCAATTAGTGCTGTGATCATATCTAGCTTGGCCCATCAATACCCCTATCTCTTGTACAAACCAGTGAGTATTGCAGTCCCACAAGTGTGAACCCACAAATCCCCCCTGCCCTGAACCTGAGCCCTCTAGCCTAATGTGGCCCATTCCCTGCCCTCACACTCACTGGTAGGTACGATGGTCTAGCCCTGCCAGGTAGCCCCCCAGCCCTACCCTTCATGTGCACCTGTAGGGTGGTGGTTGATGGTGGTCAATGCCAAATAGCCCAGTTCAGGTCTCTCATGTGTGCAGGTATCTTGGTCTGACCCAGACCAGTCCTCCAATTTCCCCTTCCAAACCACCTGGTCTCAGCCCCCTTGTTTACCTATGAATGTCGTGGCCCGGTCTGTGGAAGTCTCCCAGAAATCATTCCTCACCTGTAACAAACTCTCTCATCAGTCCCCCCTTTCCACACATCCCTAAGCTCCTTCCCAAGGCAATCCACAGCACCCATGCTTGCCATCACCCATGGTCCCCCCTGGTCTTCTGGCAGGGTGGTGAGCTGGCCTGATAACTAAAATTTTTCACGAACAATAGTCAAAGAATACATCAACATTTATTATGAAACAATACATATTTGATAATGAACAATAAAGTCTATTTAGGATTTCTAGCTTCTAGAACTTTAATAAAATACATTTATTTTGTTTTAAGTTACCATGTATGGAGCAATTTGCCAGGAAGAGTCCTAATCAGAAATTAACTCTACCAGAAACTGTTCTGGGACTTTGATTGTCTATAACTGTGAAAGAGTAAATTTTTGCTACTCAAAGCAACTCCTGAGCACACTGATATAACCACCAATTGTGAGATTATCTCTTTGTGTTGTAAATCTCAAGATAGGTAATTCTGGTCTGTGGGCATCTCTTTCTTTCAACACCTTGTTAAATGAACCAAGTAACAACCTATACACACTACCAACATACTATTATCTGATCTATTCTTCTAGAGATTAAGACTTAGTAGGTCTTTTGTCTGATATCCAGCTTATCACATGACCTTTCCCCTGTGTGTGTGTGCAATTTGCAGAAAGTAATATATACCCCCTTTGCTTCACTAATCCTGTAAGATTAGAAATCCATAATTGCTACCTCATTTAACTTTGTGTTCTAAAATATCTGTTCCCAAATACAGTCACACTTGAGCTTAAAACTTTAACATATAACTTTTGTAGGAATGCAAATCTGTAAGCATGGCCTTGCAGGTGACATTTTAAAATGCCAATTACTGCTGGATTCAAAACAGAAGGAAATCAGGCTCAAAAAGTCCTGAAGCAAAAAGGCTAATTCAAATTGCTCAGTTAGAGTTAAACTGCAGATTAGAGAATGCTGAAAGTCTGTTTCTACACAGAATAAACTAATAAACTGGCAAAACTCATCATCATTAATCATTCTCAATTCCAGAAGCTAACTAAGAGTTTGCATAAACAAGCAAATGCTTAATCAAGAAATAAAAACAAAAACAAAGCCTAGTTTAATCTGCTCAGGATGGCAGATTTGTGAACTATATAATGGTCTTCATCTCTTATTCTCTACTTCAAAGCTGACCTTGAAGAAAATAAGCTGACTCTACCAGGTATAGATGTTGGTAACAGAGGGAGAAGAATGGAACTTTTAATTTTTTTTTCTAACATGATTGTGATCATTTGCTTTGATGTATCTGGCAACTTCTGGGAAGTCCAACTCAAAGGCTAATTTTTATGTCACTTAACTCTCCCACTATTAACAACATGCTAGTGAATAACTAATGGGTCATTGAAGAAAGTACAGAGGAAATAAAAAATATTGAAACAAATGACAATGAGGATAAAATATATCAAAATCTATAGGATACAGCAAAAGAAGCATTAAGAAAAAAGTTTATAGCAGTAAGTGCTTACATTAAAAAAAGAAATAGCCCCCAAATAATGTAAAGCAATAATGCATCATGAGGACATATAAAAACAACAAAAAAGCATATTAGCAAAATGTGAGAAGTAATAAGGATCAGAGAAGAAATAAATTAAATAAAAAATGTACTAAAGATCTGGAACAGGAAAACGCATTTTTGAAAAGCTGAAATAAACGAACCTCCCACCATATTGACAAAGAAAGAAAAGAGAGAAAACTTAAATAAATATACTTAGAGATTGGAAAATTGCAGTTGATGTCACATAAATAAAAACTATTGTAATAAGCTGTTATCAATTATTATATGCTAATAAATTGGAAAACCTCTGAGAAATGGATGAATCCTTACATACACATAACCTACCAATATTAAATCAGGAAGGTAGAAGAAAATCTAAATTGACCTGTAAAAAGCAATGAGATTAAAATACTTATTACAAGTCTCCCATTAATGAAAAGTTGAGGATCTGATAGCTTTACTACCAAATCCTGTAAGATACTTAAAAAGAAATTAACTGTAGAACTTTTCACACTATTTCAAAACATTGAAGGGGATGGAACTCTGACACATTCTATAATTTTATGCTGACACCAAAACCAAGCAGAGACACAACACAAAGTGGAAACTGTAGGCCAATGAATGTAGATGCAAACGTTATCAACAAAATATTATCAAGGAAAATACAACACTACATAATATAGATGGTATATTTCAATAAAGTGGAATTTGCCCCATGTATACAAGTGTGATTCAGGGATCACAAATCAAAAAATATGATTTGTCACACTAACAGAATGAAGAATAAAACCATGTGATCATCTTAATGTATGCAGAGACCGTATTTGATAAGATTCAACAACACTTTATTAGAAAACGTCAACAAATGAGGTATGGAAAGAACACATTCTCAAAATGAAAAAGGCTGGGCCCAGTGCAATGGCCTAGTGGCTAAACTCCTCACCTTGAATGTGCAGGGATCCCATAGGGCGCTGGTTCTAATCCCAGCAGCCCCACTTCCCATCCAGCTCCCTGCTTGTGGCCTGGGAATGCAGTGGAGGACAGCCCAAAGCTTTGGAACCCTGAACCTGACTGGGAGACGTGGAGGAGGCTCCAGGCTCCTGGCTTCAGATTGACTCAGCTCTGATCATTGCAGTCACTTGGAAGATCTTCCTCTTTATCTCTCCTCCTCTCTGTATATCTGACGTAGCAATGAAAATAAATAAATCTTTAAAAAAATGATAAAGGCTGTATATAACAAACCAATAGCCAATGCCATAAGGAAATGCTAGCATTTCCCCTCAGATCTGAAAAAAGACAGTGCTCATGGTCACCACTCTTATCCAACATAGTATTTGCAAGTAATGGTGAGAGACATTAGTGAGGAGAATGAAAGCTAAAGCACCAAAATTGAAAATGAGGGAGTCAACAGAACCATGTTTTCAGACAGCAATATGATGTACATAAGGTGATAACTAAAACCTCCATCAAAAAGTTGTTAGAACTGATACACTTATTTAATAAAGTCTTAGGATGCAAATTTGAAACACAAGAAACAGTATTTCTTTTCTGTTTTGTTCTGTTTTTACAAATCCATATCGATCTTGCCGAAAGAGAAATAGAGGAATCAACCCCATTGACAAAAGCTACAAAAAGCCAAACATAAAGAATAATTTTAATAATCAATACAATGAAAATTATTAAACATCTGATGAAAGTAATCATGGAGGACACAAAAATGGAAAGGTATGCTTTTACACGTGAATGAACTTTTAAAGTGTCCATAGTACGTGAATCAATCTATACATTCCATGCAGACCTGTCAAGGTAACAATGATCATTCCAGAGCTAGAGAACACAATCCTACAATTCAAAAGAACTTCAGAAGATCCAGAACAGTCAAAGCAGCACTGACTCAAAAACGTCCATCTGGATACATCACAATACCTGATTTCAAAGCAAATTACAGAGCTAGATCAAATAAAATAATATGGTATCGACAGAAAGCCACAGACGGATCAATGGGTTATAGGATAGACTGCACTAAAATATCCACACACTTGCAGCCAACTAATTTTTGACAAAGGTGCCAAGAACATAACTGGGAGATAGAATAGACAGACATCAATAAATGGTGCTGGCAAACTGGATATACATATGTAAAACGTTAAATTTTATTCCTACTTCGTAAGTGTAAAATTGGGCTCAAACTAGATCAAAGACTTAAACGCATGAAATGAAACTAACAAATTGCTAGAAGAAAACACAGTGGAAACATTTCAAAACATGGATGTAGGCAATTATTTCTCCTATAAGAAATCCAAAGTCGCAAGCAACAAAACAAAAACTAGACAAACAAGATTATCTCAAATTCAGAAGTTTCTATACAACAAATAGATTCAAGAAATTTCTGGCAGAATGGAAACCATATTTGCATACTACTCATCTGACAATGGATTGGTATATAAAACATAATGGAAAGTAAAAAAAAGAGAAAGAAATCTCAACAAAACAACAAATGTAGCTATGAAATGTTAAAGTTGGAGCTCCTAGACACTACTGGTGGTGATGTATAATAGCACAGTATGCATGGATTATATTATAGTATTAAGATTTGTTACAAGATCAGACATTGTGATGTACATACATAATAAAAATCAAATAGAATTTCCAGGTGATTTAATAATCCCACTCCTGTATATTCATACAAAACATGGAATATAGCATTAAAGACATATATGATCCACACCTTCATTGCATATCTTTTTGTAGCATTGCTCATAATAGCCAACATGTGGAATTGGTCAGGCTGTCCATTGTTAGATGCATGGATATTTTATAAATGGATACTACTCAGCCATGAAAACGAATTTGGTGATTTGTAATGACTGCATGGAACTAGAGGGACATCATGTTAAGTGAAATAAGCCAGATTAGAAAGACAAATGCCAGATGTTTTCCCTCATTCATAGGAACTACAGCAAACAAACCCATTCTGAACACAGAATGTTGATTACCAAATGCTGGGAGGGAGAAGTGGGAAGACTAGAGGGAGTTTGGATAAAATAAATAGCTAAATCTGGATATAATTAACTAATTGATACAAATATACTAATATGAGACCTTAACAGTAGGATAAGTTGCGTGTGGTTTACAAATTGTCACAAATACAATGTAGCAATGTTAGATTGTAACTAAAGAGGAAGCTGAATGTAGAATATATGGGGATTCTCCGTACTAATTCAGAAGGTATGTTTCATAAGTTTGAAAGTATTCTGAAATAAAAACAAAAAAGGAATAAATAGAAATGATCCTTGTGGTTCTCAGACATCATAATCACTATGCATTGCCTCTAAAATGGCTATTTTAAATATTCATAAATAAGAACAAGAAAACCACGTAAGAAATAATGAAGTAGTGTGTCACCAATTAGTATCAACAGATAGACAGAAATTATTACCAAAGCAGAAGTTCTGTAATTGAAAAATTAGCTGAAACATTCACAAAAAAGTTGATCCTAACCATATGACTGTTAATGAAGAACTATACTACAGTAATCACATAGGGGAACTCAGTGGAGGGGAGGGAATATGGGGATAAGGAAAATCCCAGGGCCTATGGAAATGTATCATAAAATGATATTAACAACAATAATAAAAATTAAACAGTTGATCCTAACATTCTTATGGAAAAGTAAAGATCTTGAATAGCTACAACTACCAAGAAAGAATGACAAAGTTGTAGGACTCATAGATTTCCATTTCTAAATTTATGACAAGCTGCAGTGTAGGACAACTGATTAGATCTGTAAGAAAACAATTGATTAAAGAGACGACATTGGGAAGCAGTTGATATGGAAATGAACATGCCAGGAGCTTTCCAGTTCTCAGGTTTAGAGATCAGATCAAAGGGAGCATCCCTGTTAGCAGAGATGTGGGGACTCCCTTAGTCTCAAGTCAACTCCCACCTGCAGTTGATACATAAATTGCTCAAACCCTCCTCTCTGATACCTAGGTGACCTTCAGTCCTTAAAAGTCTGATGCTGTTAACAAACTTCGACTATTGACCATCAGTCAGTAGTCATGTGTGTTATCATGAGCACCATGCATCTAGTCTATTGCTTCCACATCACTACAGCAAACACTGTAGTGATCAAACAATGTGCTGCTGGTATTGACAAACATGCAAATCAATGAAGCAATTTGAAATATGTTCAAATATCTACTGTTAATTGATATTTGGCATGTGTCCAAAAACATTCCAAGGGGATATTTGGCATATGATTGTGGGACAAGGATTAAATGAGATCGCTTATACTGCACACAAAAATTCATTCCATGGGTCAGGACTATGATACAGTAGGTTAATCCACTCCTTATGCCTCTGGTATCCATTACCAGAGCACCAGTTTTAGTGTCAGTTGTGCTGCTTGCCATCTAGCTCCCTATTAATACACCTGAAAAGGCAAGTGAAGATGGTTTGCGTACTGTGCACTGGCCACTGACACATCAGATGAAGTTGCTGCCTCCTTGTTTTGGCCTGGCCTAGCCAAAACCCTAACTGTTGCAAATCCCTGGGGGA